GAGAATGTACCGCCAACACCCCCGCGCGACTCCCTTGGTCCAATCTCACGACTAGACCCATTCGCCCGCTTCATCGAAGGCACAACGACCCCACTCAACATCATCCCCGACCGAGAATTCTTGGCGCTCTATCTTACAACGGCACCTGCATAAGAGGAGACAGCAACAGAAGCAGAAGCAGAGGAGCCGGACAACGAAGCGGAACCAGGAGCAGAGGAAGAACCCCCACTCCAGATCCCGCAAGATACGGAAGCAGAAGCAGCAGAACATCGCGCTCGCTACAAGCGCACCTCCGGCATTCGCGCCGAAGACGACCTCTGGCACCAGCGGTTTGGCCACCCCTCGCGCCAGACCCTCGCTAACTGCCTCCGCGCCAAAGTCTTTCTCCCAGGAGCACTGCTGCGCCCTGACGGAACAGAACCACACAACACCTCTCACCCGATCACTTGCACCGTCTGCCCCACAGCTGCACTCTCCCACTCCGCTTACCCCTCTCTGGAACCGAGCACCAACCGATACAAGAAGCTGCAGAAAGTGTACAGCGACTTCATCGTGCTCACCCATGACGGCATCAACGGCGAAAAATACACACTCACCTTCATTGACGCCTACTCGCGCCATGTGTGGGTCGCCAACGTCGACGCCCGCTCCAAAGCTCCACAAGTGTTCCGCATCTTTCTCGCGCATGCGCAACGACAATCAGGAAGGAAGCTAAAGATTTGGCAGAGTGACGGGGCCAAAGAATTTCACAGCAACGAGCTGGAGAGTGTTCTCACCGAGAAGGGAATCAAGCATGAGATCTCACTCCCCTACGCTCACCAGCAGCAAGGAGTCGCAGAGAGGGTAAACCGCACCCTCATGACGAAGGTGCGTGCCCTCATGAACCAGTCCGGCCTGCCCAAGAAGTTTTGGCCCTACGCCATGAACCACGCGGTGCGCCTGCACAACCTCCTCTCCACCACCGCCAATAGGGACAATCTGTCCCCTCACATGAAGTGGACTGGCACAAGGGGAGACCCCTCCATGCTGAGGGTTTGGGGGTGCATGGTGCAGTACCGACCAACCTCAGCCACAATCGGCAAGTTCGTTCACCGCGCGCGCTGGGGAATTCACTTGGGCCTCAGCAACGAGCATAAGGGCTGGCTCATTCTTGACATCGACAGCAACGAGATCGTCCCTGCGCGAGACGTCCTCTTCTACGAGCGGCTCACCTTAAGGCAGTGGATCGAGGACGAGCGTCGCAACCAGGCACGCGGCTACGCCAACAGCGGCCGCAGCTTTGCGTCCCCAGAAGACGAAGCGGCAGCAGCAGCACTGGATCGCGATGACACCGACGAACACCCCAGTGTCACGCCTCGCCCCAGCGACGACGACGACGATGACAGTGATGATGCTCCCGCGCCAAGGCCGTCACGACGCCAAGCTGAACCAAGCACCACATCGCCCGGCTACGAGAGCAGCGACGACGACGTGGTGGAAGTCACCACCACCACAGACACCACCAATGTGTCCGACCTACAACTTCTCGGCCTACACACGCCCGTCACAACTCTCGCCCGCGTCGTCGAGCCCAAGAATCCTCGCCAGGCCTTAACCGGCCCTCATGCCAAAGAGTGGCATGTCGCGATGGATGCGGAGCTAAAAGCGCTGGAATCTCGAGACACATGGGTCCTAGTCGATCGTGCAGCAGTGAAGGGGAGGAGGGTGCTCAGCGGGAAGTGGGTTTTTCGTCTCAAAACCAACGCTGACGGAACCATTGAGCGCTTCAAAGCTCGCTGGGTCGCTCGAGGGTACGACCAGCGCCACGGCATCGACTTCGACCAAACCTTCGCTCCTGTCAGCCGCCACACCTCCGTCAGAATTCTACTCGCCATTGCCGCCGCTAAGCACCTGCCACTGCGACAGATCGACGTGAAGAACGTGTTTCTATACGCGCTGGTGGATGCTACCATCTTCGTGGAACAACCTCACACCTACGGAGAAGGGGATTCCAGTCTGCCAGCTGAAGAAATCCCTCTATGGGATCAAGCAGGCGCCTCGTCTCTGGCAGCAGCATCTGCACAAAATCCTTCTTGAGATCGGCTTCAAGCAGCTGCCGCACGACCCGGGAATGTACCGCCTTCACTTCTGCGGCGACTACATCCTCCTGACAGTTTACGTCGACGACCTGCTGTACACGGACACCTGCAACAAACTCCTTAACCAGTTTGAGGAGAACCTGACGCAGCGCGTTGACATCACAATCAACCACAACGTGAAGCAGTTTTTGGGGCTGAACATCACCTACGCGCCAGAAGCAATTCACCTGTCAGCCTCGAAGTACGCAGAACAGCTGGGGGAACGCTTTAACATTTCGCCCGCACCACTCTCAACTCCCTACCACAACCCCAACACTAACTACAAACCAGACAACAAACCACTATCACCCGCAGGACTCCAACTGTACCAGCAGCAACTGGATTGCCTGCTGTTCGCCTCTGTCACCTGCCGACCCGACCTCTCGTACATCGCTAGCCAACTGGCGCAGTACTCCCGCAAGCTAGTGGCTGGGAACCAGCTGGACCTGGAGCGCGCCCTGCAGTACTTCATTTCCACACCTGACATCGGGCTCTCCTACTCCACGCTGACGACGACCTCTTTCAACCTCAACGGCTACGTGGATGCAGATCACGCCGCTGATCCTGCAAATCGACGGTCCCGAACTGGCTTCGTCTTCCGCCTCGAACCAACTGGGCCAATTTCCTGGAACTCACAGAAGCAGGAGCTGGTTGCCCTGTCATCGGCCGAAGCAGAATACATTGCCGCGACAGCAGCAGTTCGCGAAGGCCTGTACCTGCAAGAGCTGCTACAGGAGGCAAAAATTCCAACTTCGCCCACCTTTCGCCTTCACTGCGACAACCAGAGCGCCATCAGGATTGCGAACAAGCCAGGTTTCGTGAATCGTACGAAGCACATTGCGCTTCGGTATTTTTTCGTCAAGGACGAGATTGACCAAGGGAAAGTTGACCTCGCGTACTGCCCGAATAACCAACGCGGAAGGAGAGGAGGGTGCTCAGCGGGAAGCGGGTTTTTCGTCTCAAAACCAACGCTGACGGAACCATTGAGCGCTTCAAGGCTCGCTGGGTTGTTCGCGAGTACGACCAGCGCCACGGCATCGACTTCGACCAAACCTTCGCTCCTGTCAGCCGCCACACCTCCGTCAGGATTCTACTCGCCATTGCCGCCGCTAAGCACCTGCCACTGCGACAGATCGACGTGAAGAACGTGTTTCTATACGCGCTGGTGGATGCTACCATCTTCGTGGAACAACCTCACACCTACGGAGAAGGGGATCCCAGGGTCTGCCAGCTGAAGAAATCCCTCTATGGGATCAAGCAGACGCCTCGTCTCTGGCAGTAGCATCTGCACAAAATCCTCCTTGAGATCGGCTTCAAGCAGCTGCTGCACGATTCGGGAATGTAGCGCCTTCACTTCTGCGGCGACTACATCCTCCTGACAGTTTACGTCGACGACCTGCTGTACACGGGCACCTGCAACAAACTCCTTAACTAGTTTGAGGAGAATTTGGCGCAGCGCGTTGACATCACAATCAACCACAACGTGAAGCAATTTTTGGGGCTGAACATCACCTACGCGCCAGAAGAAATTCACCTGTCAGCCTCCAAGTACGCAGAACAGCTGGGGGAACGCTTTAACATTTCGCCCGCACCACTCTCAACTCCCTACCGCAACCCTAGCACCAACTACAAACCAGACAACAAACCACTATCACCCGCAGGACTCCAACTGTACCAGCAACAACTGGGTTGCCTGCTGTTCGCCTCTGTCACCTGCCGACCCGACCTCTCGTACATCGCTAGCCAACTGGCGCAGTACTCCCGCAAGCCAGTGGCTGAGAACCAGCTGGACCCGGAGCGCGCCCTTCAGTACTTCATTTCCACATCTGACATCGGGCTCTCCTACTCCACGCTGACGACGACCTCCTTCAACCTCAACGGCTACGTGGATGCAGATCACGCCGCTGATCCTGCAAATCGACGGTCCCGAACTGGCTTTGTTTTTTGCCTCGAACCAACTCGACCAATTTCCTGGAACTCACAGAAGCAGAAGCTGGTTGCCCTGTCATCGGCTGAAGCAGAATACATCGCCGCGACAACAACAATTCGCGAAGGCCTGTACCTACAGGAGTTGCTACAGGAGGCGAAAATTCCAACTTCGCCCACCTTTCGCCTTCACTGTGACAACCAGAGCGCCATCAGGATTGCGAACAAGCCAGGTTTCGTGAATCGTACGAAGTACATTGCGCTTCAGTATTTTTTCGTCAAGGACGAAATTGACCAGGGGAAAGTTGACCTCGCGTACTGCCCGACCACTGCGATGGCAGCAGACTTCCTCACCAAGCGTCTGCCACGTCAGCAGTACAAGCACTGCTCTGACCTCACCGGAGTAGTCAAGCGAATCAGCTCCTCCTACGCCCAGGAATGAAGGGGAGTGTCACGATATGAAGTTGCATGAGAAGGCATTCCTGTATGTTGCAGGAGCCGACTCTACCGAGTACGAAGTCGAGGAGTCAGAAGAGTCGAAGCGACGCAGCAACCGTCTGACCAAGACCAATGCAGGCAGAAACATTTGAAATGAAAAGAGCGAGAACAGGTTTGAAACGGGTTCCCGCGTCGCACGGTTTGAATTCGCTGCAATAAGGGAATGTACCCCTTAGAATACATGGCTAGCCTAGGTCTCTACTCTGCGATCATCCCTGAGCGATCCTTCGCTAAGTCCCACTTGGGATTGTAACATTCTCAAACAGTGAGCAGTTGTCGTGTCGTCAAGCGAGTGCTTGAACCTATCCGTCCACGTGAAGACCTCCATGGAGGGGTGGTGGTAGTGCACTTCCACAAAGAGCTCGTCCACTGCTGCCTCCCTTTCAATCTATGGTACAGACAAGGGTGCACATTATACCCGTGAATCTATGGCCACATATGCACATGAAACCCGTGAATCTACGGCCACGGATGAACGTAAAAGCTGGCTCTTCTCAGGTCAGTGAGCAGTAATATTGTGTCGTCAAGCGTGTGGTTGAACCTATCCGTCCACGTGAGGCCCTCCATGGAGGGGTGGTGGTAGTGCACCTCCACAAAGAGCTCGTCCACGATGGCGGGCATGTGAGGGATGGCCAGCCACTCGTGCAGCACCGCCCACTCCGCCCCCTCTATGTCCATCTTTACCATCACTGTGTCCTCCTCTGTCAGCTGCAGCTCCCCTAGCATCCACCGCGTCACGTTCACTGTGTTCTGAAGAGGGGGGAAGGGGGGGTGATGGGGGGAGGAGGGGTATTGAGGGGGGACACTCATGCAGCACCGTCCGCCCCCTATGACCCTCTATGTCCATCTTTACTATGACCGAGTCCTCTTCTGTCAACTGCAGGTCGTCCAGCAGCCACCGGGTCACGTTCACTGTTTTCTGGGAGGGGAGAGGGGGGGAGGGGATTGGATGGAAGGAGAGAGGGGAGGAAAGGGGAGTACTGAGGGTGGGGACTCGTGCAGCACGGCCCACTCCGCCCCCTCTCTGTCAACTGCAGCTCGTCCAACAGCGACCGTGTCACGCTCACTGTGTTCTGAGGAGGGGTTCGGGGGCAAGAGGGGGTGAGGGGGAAGGAGGAGTAGGATGGGTACGGAGAAAGCCACAATATCTGTATGCACCCACCACTGAGTCCTCCTTTCCCACCTGCAGCTCCTCCAGCAGCCACCTGGTCATGATCACTGTGTCAGAGAGAAGGGGGGGGGAGAGGATGAGGAGAGCAGGGATATTGCCGGGGGCCACTCATGCAGCACTTCACACTCCAGGGGGGCAGTTGTGCAGGGGGTGAGGAGGGGGGAAGGAGGAGTAAGATAAGAAAGGAGACAGCCCGAATCTCCGTATTCACCGCATTCAGCCCCATTCCGCCGCCTCTATGTCCCTCTTGACAATGACAGAGTCTTCCTCTGTCAGCTGCAGCTCGTCCAGCAGCCACCGGGTTACGTTCTGAGGGAGGGAGAGGGGAAGGATGGGGGAGGCGGGAGGAGGAACATGGGAAAGGGGAAGCGGGCAGAAAAAGGGAACAAAAAAAAAACCGGTAGGAAATAAAAAGGAGAGATATGGTTGGCATGACTGGGCCCCCTCCGCCGCTCCCTCTGTTGGTCTCTGTTAGTCACGCTCAGTGCGCTCTGGGAGGAAGGAGAGATGGAGGAGGGAGAGAGGGAGAAAGGAGAGAGGGAGGAGGGAGAGAGGGAGGAGGGAGAGAGGGAGGAGGGAGAGAGGGAGGAGGGAGAGAGGCAGGAGGCAGAGAGGGAGGACAGAAAGGCTAGCTGTAGTCACCACTAGTGGAGCCCGTGTGCTCCTTCTGATCTGCACAACTAGTTTGCGAGAGCAAGCAGGATGCGGAAGTCCGACGAAACCAGATTGCGGAAGTAAGTAAGTTACTAGAAACCGTTCTCTCTAAATGTTTAGGTTCTTGTATATTACAGAAGTTCGTAAAACGTGCATCCTGAGAATGCGGAGATGCAAAAAGGAGGAGCGAATATGTGGAAGAAAGAAGGTCGCTAAATCGTTGGACTCATAGCTTTTCTTAGGTCTGTCGGGAACTGAATGTAGAACACAATACCCACCTCCTGTGCAAGGTGGGATCCATGGCGGCTCTTAGAAACGGTAAGATCTGCGTCTTGTCCTCCACGTCCTCCACGAATCCCAAGGTCCACCCGCGGCGGAAGTTCAAGTGCGTGTCTAGCTCCTCTATAGGCAGCCCCGCTACAAGACACGGGGAAACGCGCGGTGTCCACTGCGCGCATTGTGGGTGTCGGCAAGGCGCGGGGGGGAGGGACGAGGAGGAAGCATCATTCCGAAGATGCTCAGTTGAGCGACATTGTGTGGAGTGATTGCATGCCATGCACGTTTGAATTCCATTGTGGCTACTATGTCGAGATGGGATATGCTTGTGCAGGACCCTATGATTACATGATATCGCGTTGACTTTTGAGTCGACTCAAACGCTACTATGTCCAGATGGAATATCTTTGTGCAGGACCCTATGACAACATGATATCATCATAGGAAGAGAGAGGGTCCATTTGAGAGTTACACTTTGGGGTGGGCGTGCGTCGACACGGAGTGGGAACGCGGGGACGAACGCGGGGTCGAATGCGGGGAGCATGGCGTTCGACACCAAGCATATCTGCCAGGATCATTGTCCGACCTGGGGTTCACTTAGTAGTACCTTCGTAAACGCCCACGCATCCTCGGGACTGACTTGCGGCGACGAGCTGCTATCTCCGCCATTCTGCACTACCGGAGTGGCTCTGCTGGTTGATGTCCAATCAGAGCACGACTGAGCTGCGATGCGGCCTCCGCTTCTGCTTCCGTCTGCAATTCTTAGCGCTAAGTCGCAGTCGCACGGCGCGCATCGTTTGGGAAGCTGAACGGCTATTATCGAGATCGAGCAGAGGAGGAGGAGCGTCGAGACTATCGCCCAAGCGAGCGCCACTGGATACGGTATTAGCGACTCGACGTTCTTAATCTGCGACTTCGTTGGCAAGTATTGAATATGATGAGGGCTACACTTGACTCTAACGTTACTATGGGAAGCACTAACTGGAGTTGAATGAACAACCATGACTGCACGACAGGGACTAATGGCGATGATACTCCCAAGCTTCCTTTCCGTTGCCCAGCATCAGGGCGCGATACTCGGAACAGAGGTGTGTCATCAAACGGTATTGTTGTGGCATCCGTGGGCGACCTGTGGTTCACAGTGGGAGGGTTGAGCCTCGCGAGCGACAAAGAATCTCGCCCAAGCATTTGTTACGAGTGAAATGGTGAGCAAAGCGAGTAGTGCGCTGTTACGAATTATTAGGACGTGTCACCTCTATAAAACTTGGCAGATTTGGGGTTTCGGGGGTCAACCCGAACCTAACAGGTTCGGCACACACGAGTGCCCAAAAGCAAATCTGCGGTCACCTGGAAAAACCGAGGCACAGGTGACACGTCTGGAGATTTATGGGGCAAAATTCCCCGATCGCGACAATTACACGATCGATCTGTGGCAGGGGACACATCGATCGTGGGAGCCAGAGCTGACACAATACGGTATTGACGACCAGTTTACTGTATAAATCGAGAGGTAACGCGCCCTCAAGCATAATCTTCGCCCTATTTTCCATTCAGGTAGCTTCAGGCACTAGGGGCAACTCCCACTAAGTATTAACTTACCTCAGGCGTAACATATCGAGGTTAACTTCGATCATTCGAACATATCCCCATCCATAGGAATCCCTCATTTTCTTAGGTATCTTTTGGCACTAGAGTTAAATCCCACCAAGTATATCGCACCTCAGAGCAGACTCGCCATCATGACAGCGCAGCAGCAGCCACCGTCGCAGCCTCCCCCAGTAGTCCACGTGGCATTCGCCCGGGCCGCCTATCGCCCGGGCGAAACCGTCATCGCGACGATCGACATCGACAATTTCGCTCCGTCGCCGTCGCCGCTCTCCGCCGCCGCCGCCTCCGCCGGCATCGCATTGCCGTCCTGGGCGATCCCGCAGCGTGCGCCGAGGCGCGACGGCATGAGCAGCAGCAGCAGCAGCAGCAGCAGCAGCAGCAGCGCGATGGGCGGCAGAGTGGGATCCGCGCCGTCGCTGACGAAAAACGCGTCGTTTAGCGGCGCGGGTGGGGGGCGGGCGAGCGAGGGCGAGTTCGGCACTGTAGGGGGTGTGCTTATAGAGAATCTGGTGGTGGATCTTAAAGGCGTGGAGCGGCTCGACCCGTCGTGGATCGTCCTGCCGAAATCCAGCAGCGGCGCGCAGAGCAAAGGTGGGTGGGGGAAAAGAGAGGTGGGTGTGGGAGAGTAGACGTGGGTGTGGGAGCAGGTGGGTGGGAGGGACGGTGGGTGGGAGGAGACAGAGGGTGGGGGGCGTGGAGCAAAGGCCCAGGAGCAATGAGCGACGGGCAGGGAGGGGAGGCGCGTGGCATCCAGAAGGCAGAGAAGAGTGAGCAGGGAGGAGCGGTGGAGTGGGTGTGAGGCGGTGAGGGAGAGAGGGTATGTGAGGGAGTGAGGAGTGATGGAGCGAGGGAGAGAGGGTATGAGGGAATGAGGAAGTGAGGGTGTGAGGAAGTGAAGGTGTGAGGAAGTGAGGGTGTGAGGAAGTGAAGGTGTGAGGAAGTGAGGGTGTGAGGAAGTGAGGGTGTGAGGAAATGAGGTTGTGAGGAAGTTAGGGTGTGAGGAAGTGAGGGCGGGCTCGACAGTCGAAGAGGAATGTGAGGTGGCGCATGCAAGGCAAAGGGAGGGGTGTGAATTGTGGCAGGAAGTGGAGTGCGGCAAGCTGTGGTGCTGATTGCAAGCTACTATGGACTGTGGGTAGCGAGGGTGTCGTTTGAGGAAGCAGGAGGGGGCTCGACAGTCCAAGAGGACTGTGGGGTACTGTGAGGGTGTCGTCGTTGCTTGTGATTAGGGGTACTGTGTGTACCGCACTTTGGATCGCCTCTCCCACTCCTCACCAAAACACGCCCGGCGGGCGAGAGGGCGATTCTAGAGATGCAGCATGCCACGCCTCCGGGCAGTGTATCCGTTTCCAACCATGCCATCTCCAATCACCTCCTCTTTCCCAATGCCTTGCCCCATGCCATGCACTGCCCTTGCCCCACGCCTTGCCCTGCCTGCATGCCTCCTACCGAAACACGCCCAGCAGGCGAGAGGGTGATTCTGGAGTCACAGCTCACATCACTTGTCACCAACGTGGCCATCCAACCCGGCACCAGCAAGACCTGTACGCCCCCCCCTCCCTTCCCCCTTTGCCTCCGGTTTGCTCTGCTCCCTTGCGTCGTCCCCTTATGTCTGCCTCCCACTCTCCCTTCTAGTCAGTCCCTTACAACCAACCGCACTGCACCGAATTCTCTTCCCCGAAGCTACCTATTTCCACCTCCTCCTTGCCTTTGCCTCGCCTCGCCCTCGCCCTCTTCTGCCCCGCCCATCCCCCCCCTCCGTTCTCTCACCCCTCTCTCTCCCAGACGCCATAAGAGCGCAGCTGCCGCGGGTGCTGCCCCCTTCCTACCGGGGCACAGCCGTGCGTTTTCACTACCAGCTCACTGTGATCGTCAAGTGGCGCCCCCTCCCCTCCCCCTCCCCCTCCGCCTCCCCCTCCCCCTCCCCCCTCACCTCCGCCCATTCCTCCTCCTCCTCCGCCCTCCTCTCCTCTCACTCCGCCTCCCCTTCCCCCTCTCCTGGCGTTCCCCGGAGGTCCCACTCTGGGGGGCAGCTAGGGGGGGAAGTGGGGGGAGGAGGGGCGGGGAAGGGCGAGGTGAGCAGGGGGCAAGGGGGCAGCGCGAATACCACTCCGTTGAAGGGGAGAGGGGGAGCGGAGGAGGGGAGAGGGGGAGCAACGGCTGGTTTGGGGAAGGGGAAAGGGGGGAAGGGCGGACAGGGTGGTGCCACGTCTGTTGTGGTGAGCAATGCTGTGTGTGTGAGCGATACCCCCCATTTTCCCCGCCTCCCTGCCGCATGCTCCCACCCCTCTCCCTCGTCCTCCCTGCGACAATCCTCGCCCTCGTCACCTATGCTTCCACTCCTCCTTCGTCATCCTCAGTGGCCTCACAACGTACTGCAGTGCTTCATTCCTCACCAATCTCCCTTCCATGCCTTTCATTCCATCCCCACCCCTCCCATCTGCCCCCATCCCAGGAGGTGCGAGTGCCGCTGCGCATCTGGACGCTGCCCAACCTGAGTGGGCTCACAGTGGAGGAACTGGACTCAGACGATCACTACGGCGTGGGAGGTACGGTTCCCATCGCATCTTCCCACTTGTAGCTTCAGTAGTTTGAGTTGATTGAAAATGCACCCTAGTGGGCTCACTCACAGTGGAGGAGCTGGACTCAGATGATCACTACAGCGTGGGAGGTACGATACGACTCACATGTGCCAAGCCCAGGTGTAGCTGGAGTAGCTTGAGTTGATTGAAATTACACCTGAGTGGGCTCACAATGGAGGAGCTTGATATAGACGATCACTACGGCGTGGGAGGTACGATACGACTCATATCTTGTTTTCCTCTCTTGCGACCAGCCAACTCTCGTTTTTCAATCCCTCACGCCCTCACTGCCTCACTCAATCCCCCACCTGGCCACTCTCCCACAACTCCCTCCCTCCCTCACTCCCTCCCTCCCTCTCATTTTGCCAACAGGCATAGTGCCCACAACACCAGTTGAGCTGGCCCTCACTCCACCAACCCCTCCTTCCATCGCTTACCACTCCTTCCCTCACTCCTTCTCCCCCTCTTTACTCCTTCACTCCCTCCCTCACTCCCTCCCTCACTCACTCCCTCACTCTGCTCCCTCATTCCCTCCGTCACTCCCTCCCTCACTCCCTCCTTCACTCCCACCCTCACTCCCTCCCTCACTCCCTCCCTCACTCCCTCCCTCACTCCCTTCTTCACTCCCGCCCTCACTCCCTCCCTCACTCTCTCCCGCACACTCACAATCCGCACAGGCATAGTGCCGACAGCGCCAGTAGAGGTGGATATTCAGTGGAGGGAGAGGAAGTCCCGGGCGGCACTCATGGTAGGCTGGGCGGCACTCATGGTAGGCTGGGCGGCACTCATGGTAGGCTGGGCGGCACTCATGGTAGGCTGGGCGGCACTCATGGTAGGCTGGGCGGCACTCATGGTAGGCTGGGCGGCACCCATAGTAAGCTGGGCGGCGCGCATGGTAGGCTGGGCGGCGGGGTCTGAGGGCTGTGAGGGTCAAACTGAGGGGGCGTCAGGGGGCTCTGCGACCTGGAGGGAGCCTAATGCATCAAGGCAGCAATGCAACAGTTCCCCTGCCTTGCTTTTTCCCCCTTAGACGTGGACAACGGGTCAAGTCGACCCGACACGACACGACCCTTCTTCCCCACACCACACCTCTCTTGTCTCCTCCCTTTGCCCATATTTCCCCGTTTAGCCTTCCTCCCCACCTCAAGGCCACCTTCCTCTCTTTCTCCTTCCCCGCACATCCCCATTGTGGCCTCTTCGCATGTGCATCATGCATGCCTGCCATGCGAACCCTTATAGCCTTTTTTTCTAGAATTCTAAAAAAAATCTAGCCTCTTCGCATGCGCATGTCTGCCATGCGAACCCCATAGCCAGTACCAGCAGACGTGACATGCAAGCAGCTGCAGCCGCTGCTGCTGACCTCCGTCCTTCCTCTCCCCCCCCACTGCCCCCCTACTTCCACCCTCCTTCAGGCCCCCCCACCACCGCCGGAACCACCAGCAGCAGAGGAGGACGAGGAGGACACAACCGCTGCAGCTGGCGCTGCTGAGAGCACCGGGGCAGTGGGAGGGGCGGCAGGGCGGCGCACAGGCAGCCCTGTGGCGGCCACTGCTACCGTCACAGAGGTCGGCGAAGGGGAGGTGGTATCTGGTGCAGGCGGGCCTGGCCTGGCGGAGGGCGCACTTGCAGCAGCCACCAGTTCTGACACTGCTGCTGGCGGTGCTGTTGGGTCTGACGGCCTGCAGAGCCCGCACCTGACCCGCCTGTGGTCCGCCCCTCTCCCCACAGAGGAGGGTAGTCTTGCCGGGGGGACCCAGCAGGCGGGGGCCAACGAGCCCATCGGGCGGTCCAAGTCCATGACTGCTGGCAAGCAGTTCTCAGAGAATGGCGGAGGGGGAGGCAGCTCTGAGTCCCTTTCTTCCTCTGCTGCTGACGGCCGGGGGGGCGGGGGAGGGGGAGGGGGAGCGGGAGGGGCAGGGGGGGCGGGAGCCGCAGGGGGAGGGGCATGGGCGCGGTCATCGTCGCTGCTGGATTTGGAGCCGGACAGCCCCACGCTGTCTGAGCTGGGGGGGCAGGCGGGGGGAGGGCTGTTGTTTGGCGCGTATGGAGGGGCGGGGAATGGGTATGAGGGGGAGAGAGGGGGCGACGGGGGGAGGGGAGGGGCGCTGTCGCTGCTGAACCGGCAGGAGGAGGATGAGGGGCCGTTTATCCCACGCTCGCCAGGTGAGCCTTCTTTCAACCCTACCCTCTTCTTATCTCGCATGCCTCAGGACGAGGATGAAGGAGCTTGTTATCCACGCTTGCTCGCGGCAATAGGCCGTCTCGTGAGCCTCGCTCTTGGCACCCGCAGCCTTCCGTCCCATTGTCTTCCGTCCCCCTAATCGCTGCCCGTGAGGTGAAACCACAAGACAATGATGCGGGGTGCACTCCTCCTTCGCTCGCCACTGGCACTACCACCCACCCCATCCCACCTCCACACCCACATCTCTCAACTCCCTCACCTCCCCCCCCCCCCCCCCCTCCCCTCCCACCTCCCCACCCCTCGTTTCCTCTCTTCCCCCTGCACATCCGCACCCCTCGTTTCCCCACTCCCCCCTGCTCCATCCGTGTGGGCTCAGCCTATTACGCTGTGCTTATGCCACCTCTTCCACCATCTCCTCCTCACTTCGAGCGAGGTGACTTCTGAGTCGCCTTTTGGGGCCAGGGGTGTTGTGGGAACGCACATGCGACTTCCGCATTCATCATTGCCTGTGCCCGCCGCTCCCATCCACATCTCTCCCTCCCTCCCCTCCCTCCTCTCCTTCCCCTCCCTCCCCTCCCTCCTCTCCCTCCCCTCCCTCCCCTCCCTCCCCTCCCTCCCTTCCCTCCCCCCCTCCTCTCCCTTCCCTCCCCTCCCTCCCCTCCCTCCTCTCCCTCCTCTTCCTCTCCTCCCTCCCCTCCCATGCTAGGGCCAGGGGTGAGAGGGCGAACATACAACATCCGCATAGACGACCATGTGCTCGTGCGCTTCACTCCCAGGAACCCGCAGCCGGTCTACTACCTGGGAGACGTGGTGAGCGAGGGTGGGTGGGAGGGGCTGTGTGTGAGGTGCGTTGTGAGTGTGGGGCTCTGTGTGTGGTGGTGTGGGTGTGGGGGGCTGTGTGTACCGTGAGTGTGCATAGCAGACATGCGGCGTGATATAGCCCATCAGGGCCCATCAGGCATGTGCCATGATATAGCCCATCAGGCATGCGGCATGATATAGCCCATCAGGCATGTGCCATGATATAGCCCATCAGGCATGTGCCATGATATAGCCCATCAGGCATGTGCCATGATATAGCCCATCAGGCATGTGCCATGATATAGCCCATCAGGCATGTGCCATGATATAGCCCATCAGGCATGTGCCATGATATAGCCCATCAGGCATGTGCCATGATATAGCCCATCAGGCATGTGCCATGATATAGCCCATCAGGCATGTGCCATGATATAGCCCACCAGGCATGTGCCATGATTCTACGTTGGCAAATAAGCGTATCACGTATAATACGCTAGCGTATTATACTCTGGGTATATACGCGGTACGCAATGGCTGGCGTACTGCTGATACGCTAAAATACGCTGGGCGGGCAGGTGAAACTTTTTTCCCGGGCAGTAGAGCTGTGAACAGAAGCTGCATTGCTCGTCGAACTAGTAGGAGCTGCGCTCGACGCCATGGCGCGCGACTACGGAATGTCTAACTAACCGGGAAGAATGCTAGACGAGACCTGCGGGAAGTAAGTTGAAGAAGCATTATGGATATCGTCGACCTAAAAATGTTCACGAAGTGATGAACATTTGAAAGGGGTGGTTGGGTTTGAGAGGTTGGGTGGGGTGGTGTGTGGTTGAGTGGGTGGGAAAGTTTGGATTTTGACATTCGAAGTTCAAACGTGGGTAGGGTGCTTGAGCGAGTTCGCGGTAACAATTTGCGAAGCCGCAAAGTCGTCGCGAATTTTTTCAATTTCGTAATTTTTTTCCCGCGGGCTGCCCGGGCGTTTTTTCGCAAATCCAGAGCGTATTAGCGTACCACGTATATACGCTAGCGTATATACGTGGTACGCCAGCCTTCCCAAAGCGTATCTGCCAACGTAGCCATGATTTAGCCCACCAGGCATGTGCCATGATATAGCCCATCAGGCATGTGCCATGATATAGCCCATCAGGCATGTGCCATGATATAGCCCATCAGGCATGTGCCATGATATAGCCCATCAGGCATGTGCCATGATATAGCCCATCAGGCATGCGGCATGATATAGCCCATCAGGCATGTGCCATGATATAGCCCATCAGGCATGTGCCATGATATAGCCCATCAGGCATGCGGCATGATATAGCCCATCCACCTCAGCAATCTTGCCCCCACATGCCCTCGTGCATTGCATGTTGTTATTCTGCCTCTCCTCTTTGAAGAATGCAGAGAATCTCCAGTCTGTTTCACTCCATTCTGATTTCTCTCCTCACGCTCATTCTTCATTTCTCCTCTTTCCCCTACTCTTTCTCACCCCCTTCCTCTCCCCCCCTCCACCCCCCTTTCACAAACCCCATCTTTCCCACCAGGTGTCCTGCACTCTCTCCTTCCCCATCGAATTCGGCCCGCGCGCATGTCTTGAGGTGCATCCCCGCCTTGCACTGCTCTGCGCTCCCTCTCACTTCTCGCCGCCCTCCATCCACCCACGCCCCACACGCCCCCGCCCTCCCACCAGGTGTCTGGCACTCTCTCCTTCCCTATTGAGGACGGCCCACGCAGATGTCTCGAGGTGTGTTGCAGATGTTTGTTTCGGTATGGGCACATCCTTAAGATGTTTGTTGCAGATGTTTGTTTCAGTACTTGCAGATGTGTGTTGCAGATGTTTGTTTCAGTAAGTGCGGGTGGTCATGTCAATGTGTATGCGTGAGCAAATCCTTTTTTTGGAATGGGCATGCATTGCATATAGTACGATTTCGTGTTCTGGTTGGATCTGGCTGTAAGCTGGGTCAGCAGCATGTGAGGTGGTGTGAGGCTGAGATGGGGAAAGGTGCATTAGGGCGCGTGTCTTTTGCTGTAGAGGTTTGAAATATTGGTTGAACTTTTGATGGTAACCTGATTCGCAAATCTCGCAAATTGTTTCGCCCGTGTATCGTGTGTCCTAGTACAACATTGACCACCACGTAGGACACTAAACCTGGGTTGATCTTTTGGCACAAACCATGCATGCACGAAAAGTCATTTGTGTGTCCTCTTCAAAATGCACGAGGAAGCTGCGAAGTCGGCGACAGTCGAAGCACACATCGTGCGACTTCGGAAATCGCACATCATGTTCTGGCATCGCCAACAAACCGGGTAACTAACATGGATTGGTCGCAACTCTGAAATTTTGAAGATGTTCAACTTCGATAGTCGAACTTTCGTGTGTCCTGTGATTCTTGTGAGCTGAGGAGCAGCGACTCGGGTCACAGATGCCGATATAATCGAGCCTAGGTCAACCTAGGTTCAAATGTGTAGAGTTCAACTCAAAACTCGACTTTTGCGTGTAGATTTCAAGAGACATGCGCCCTTACCCGATCGCTGTGTATCACGTGTTTATCTTCGTATCACAATTCTGTTTTCGTATGTATGCTATCAAACATTCGGTCCACAGCATGTTTCTCCAACTAAGTCTAAAATGTGTTGTGCACATGTGCCTCTTGCCTCTTAGGTTCGCCCTTCCCTGTGTTCCATCCCTCCGGCTCGCCTCCTCTCCCTCTCACCTCCTCGCCCCCACCAGGTGTCAGTGCTATTGGAGATGCATGAGGTCATACTGCTTCCTTGCATCTTGTTTTCTCATCTCTCCCACGTCTCCCCCTTGCCTCCTCTCCCCCCGCCAGGTGTCAGTTCTACTGGAAATGCATGAGGTGATCAACCCCCGCGCCCTGCACACGTCCAGGAGAGTTGCTGCTGCTGCTTCTGCCGCCAAGGTGAGCCGCACTCCACTGTGCATGGATGCATACATCACACGCGCCTTGTCACCCACGCCTGCATGCATCTACGCATGAGTACAGTACCGCCTCAAACCGAACCGTATTTGCTACTTGTGCTGCTAAGGTGACCTGTGCTCTGCCGGTGCATGCATGCGTCACATGCATGTGCACCCACACATGCATGCACTCCGGCACACTGCATGGCGACAACAATCATGCACACATGCAGGCCAGCAATCATGCATTCACAATGTCCTTAGCACCTTCCTTCCCTCCTCCTTCAACAGCATGCTCCTCTCATCTTTGCACTTTACACTCCCCTTATCTAACTGTTCCCATGCAAACCTCTTAATCCCTCTCCCTTGTTGCCTCCATTCCCCACAATATCTCTCTCACCTCTACTTCTCCACCACGTCACGTGCATCCCTTCTCCCCACCTCCCCCTCCCATTTCCTCCCCCCCCCCCCTTTCCCCGCCCCCAGACATACTTCTCTCTCACACACCTTCTCTCCCTAACGTATCCTCCCCTTCCCTTCCTCTACCCGCCGTGAGGCCTTGGATCACCGTCGATCTCCTCCACACACACTTCATCTTCACCATCCACTTGTGATGAGACGACTTTGAGGCGCCTTAGGAACCCCCGTCTTCCTCCCTCCCTTCCTTCTCCCAACCCAGACCCCTCTACACCTGCCAGTGCTGCAGATGATGAAGCATCACGAGGTGACGGTCGACATGCTCCACACATACCGTACTTCATCTCTCTCACCCTTCAATCACCTCTACTTCTCCGCGTTTCCCTTTCCCTACGCCCCGTCCCCAGACCCCTCTACACCTGCTGATGCTGCAGATGGAGCATCACGAGGTGACAATCGACCTGCTCCACACGCACCGCCTCTCCGCCTCGTCTCTGCCTCTCCCCCACCATTCCCCTCTCCCCCACCATTCCCCTCTCCTCCCCTTCCCCAGACCCCCCTGCACTTACCAGTATTGCAGATGGAGCATCACGAGGTGACAGCGGATCTGCTCCACACGCACTTCATCTTCACCATCCCCTCCGACGCCGCCGCCTCCTTCGCCACGCCCATCATCTCACTGCAGGTAGGCCGCCCATGCACGCCCATCATCTCACTCATCGCCCATCGCCCATTCCCTAAACACTTCACTCCTAGTTCCATCACTCCCCTCCTCCTCTCCCTTCCTTCAGTGCTCCCCTCTCCTTCTGTCATATCCTCCCCTCCCTTCCTTTCCCCATATTCCCCTCACCAGTGGATCCTGCACTTTGAGTTTTGCATTTCCACCAGGTGCCCACTCACTCCCCTCCGATCTTCCCCCCTGCGCTGCTCTCCCCTCTGCTCTTCCCCCTTCTCTCCCCCCTGCTCTCCCCCCTGCTCCCATCACCAGTGGATCCTGTGCTTTGCGTTTTGTGCATCCCAGGCGCCCAGCACCACCCAGCACCACCCAGCAGAACCCCTGCAAGCACATGCAAGGCATCAACCACTGCAGCAGCAGACGCATGCACTTCTGCATCTGCTCTGCTTTCTCACTACTCTTCCCTCGCTCCACTGCTCCCCTGCTCCCTGCCCATTCCCTCACCAGTGGATTCTTCGGTTTGAGTTCTGTGCGTCCACCAGGCGACCAGCACCACCCGGCAACACCCCTGGCAGCGCGGGCAAGGGCAGGCAGCAGCAGCAACAACCCCCACGGCAGCAGATGCATGAGAGGCCGCATGCGCTAGCCATGGGGGCGGAGACGGAGAGGGGCGAGTGGTCCATGCCCATCACCGTGCACGCCCCGCTGCCCAAAGTAACACGTGAGTGACAGTGCCATTGGTATTCCCCAGCTTGCCTATGAGAGATCCTGCTCATTGTGAGGCCGCATGCGCTGGCCATGGGGGCGGAGGTGGAGAGGGGAGAGTGGTCCATGCCCATCACCGTGCATGCTCCCCTGCCTATCACTCGTTAATGACAGTGCCGTTGGCTGGTGTTCCCTTTCTTGATTGTGAGGACGAATGCGCTGTCTATCCATGGCGGCAGGCAGAGAGGGACAATTAATTTTTGAGTTGACTCAAAAGTCAACCCAGAGGCAGAGGGACAATTAACTTTTGAGTCGACTCAAAAGTCAACCCAGAGGCAGAGAGGGACAATTAACTTTTGAGTCGACTCAAAAGTCAACCCAGAGGCAGAGAGGGACAATTAATTTTTGAGTCGACTCAAAAGTCAACCCAGAGGCAGAGGGACAATTAACTTTTGAGTCGACTCAAAAGTCAACCCAGAGGCAGAGAGGGACAATTAACTTTTGAGTCGACTCAAAAGTCAACCCAGAGGCAGCGAGGGAGAATTACAGTCCATCCATGCCCATCACGGTGCATGCTCCCCTGCCTAAAACTACCCGTGGGTAACAACACTGCTGCCTTTGAGTGGTGCCCGCACCACTACTGCTGTGGCCCTAAAAGGATGAGTCAAGTGGGCTTTTGAGTCGACTCGAAAGTTTTCTCCAGATGGGACTATAGTGGACGTGTCACATGGGCCTTTGTTTGGCAAATTCTTTCCGACCACTCTCCGTTGCAGGTGTATCCCTCCGTCGTCAAGTCATCACCCCTTCATTCCACTTCATTCTCACCACTGTAATCATCATATTCCTCATTTCCTCATCATCGTCCTGATGTTCCCGTCCCATTGCTATCCCATGTTCTGGTATGCTCATCTTATTCCCACCCTTTCCCCAACATTGCTGCACCAGCCATCAGCAACCGGGACAAGGCAGTCATGCCGCCTGTGCTCCAACAACAGTCTGCCATGCTGAGTGCTGCTGCTGCTGGCCGTGGCATGGCTGGTGCACCTGTCCCTCCTTCCGCACCTCTGCCCCCTGCTGCTGTGCCGTGACTCGACTTCTGAGACACCGCAAGAGCCTTCCGCACCTCTGTCCCCTGCTGCTGTGGTGTAACTCGGGGCAGGACATGGTTTATCCGTGTAGCGTGAACGACGCTTGTTTGTGAGAGTGTGACTGTCGAGAATGTGACTATCCTGATGCATGGATGGTGCTTGGAGGGCACCAATGCAACATTTTTCATTAAATCATATCCAGGCCCGACGCCTCTCAACTTCTCCAGATCTATGTTTCCCAGCCCGCTTTCTTCCATCCCTGCCCTCTGTATCACTTCCTCATTTCAAGTGCATGGCTAAGGTACTTAACACGATGCATAGTTACAGTGCTGCCCATGTTTCTACAGCAATAATCCCTCCAACGTCCACACAGTTCTTTCCTTCTTTCCTCAAAACTGGATCCAGGGTGAATCCTCAACTACACCTCAATACAAGAAGCAGCTACCGACTGCATTGCGGACACGACACGCAGAAAATGCAATCACGCACATAACATCACACATACAAACACAATTTGCCTTAATTTTGTACCCGCTTCCTTTGTTGGTGAGAAAATCAGCCTTTAGAATAAGGTTCCCCTTAGAAATGTGGGGCGAAAAGCTAAGGTGCTTGATGTTGCCCATACAGGCCATCGCTTTTTTTTGTTGAATAGTGGTGAAACACTTTATTGAGGTGCTGCTCTGGATCCAAGTAATAAAATACTCCCGTTGTTAGTATAAAAAAGGGCATCATCTTAGAGCGTATTCCTATCCTCGTATCAAGAAAACCTCATATCAAGATTGTACTTTTTGCCTGGTAAAAGTAGCGAGAGGTTTTGGGTTTAGGGGAATTTTCAGTGGGAGGTTGATATGAGGTTTTCTTGATACGAGGATAGGAATACGCTCTTAAAGGCCTTCAACATAGGATCCATCAGTTCAAGTTAATGTTTAATCAAGCAAGAAATTGAGTAACATTACCGCGGTGGAATTGATGATATTTTCTTATTACTTATCTGTACATTTTCATATATGCTGTCGTTGTGTTGCTGTCGCTACTTGTCAGCAGGAGTGCTAATCACATCGCTGCAGCGTATTAGCGAGTAACCAGTGGGGAAATGCCAAGGGGAAATGCAAGGTGGGTGGCGAAAGTGGCGAAGTCGAGATCCACTCGATCGCACCATTATTTCCTTCCAGGAGGCCTCGCGCATGAGCAGCTTGTGTATTCTTCCAGCCAGCTTTGCCATTATTGGCAGGGGAATGCCCTTCGCGAGGGTAACCAGCAGGAGTTCGACTCCGATTTTTCTCACTCCCTCACAAGTCTTGCTCGCCAACCATACAACCACGTCAAAAACAGAATTGCGCTGGGGTAGCCAGCAGGTCAAATAATCGCACCCGCGCTTCAGCTCCCTACTCGAGTGCTTCGAACGCGCTTAGAAGCTCCGTACTCGGCGCAACAAAATATCGCGCCATATTCCCAGAGCCATGGAACTCGCGGCAGTATTTAACTGCTCGCACTTCCTCTCATCTCCATCATTAGCCACCGGTTTACGGCCACAAAGGCAAATACGAGTATTATTAGTATCTTTCGATATCGTCAGCAGTCATGACTTTCATTCGCGCCTTCCTGGTCCTTGTTTGTACGCTAATTGTCGCCGCCGTGCTCCTTCCCGCCGCGACGGCGGATGATGTCGTGAACCCCACTCTCGCCGCAACTTTCGCGCATGGCGATCTCGGCGCGCCGGGCGGCGTTCGCGAGAACGCGAATGTGAGGGCGATACGTTATAGCATCCGTGCTCTCATGGATGAGCGCGAGGAGGAGGAGGAGTCGCCCCAGGCGCGGGCTGTTCGCGTTCTGGCGGCGGCGGACGCAATGCTCTCCGCGCCGCTGCAGGTGGGAGGCGCGGATGCTGAAGTGGCAGCGGAAGAGCCGAGGAGGAGCAAGAATGGCGGGAAGAAGGGCGGGAGGAAGGGCGGAAAGAAAAAGGGTGGGACGAAGGGTGGAAATACGAGGAAGGACGAGGGGCACACGTGGAAGGACGAGGGGCATACGGGGAAGGATGATGATGATAATAAGAGGAAGGATGCGGAGAATAAGCGGAAAGATGAGGTGAATAAGCAAAAGGATGTGGAGAATAAGAGGAAGGATGCTTTGAACAAGCAAAAGGATGAGGAGAATAAGCGGAATCAATAAGCAAAAGGATGAGGAGAATAAGCGGAAGGATGCGGTTAATAAGCAAAAGGATGAGGAGAATAAGCGAAAGGATGAGAAGAATAAGAGGAAGGCTGGGGGCAATATGAGGCATGGGGGCAACACGAGGAAGGATGGGGGCAACACGAGGAAGGATGGGGGCAACAAGAGGAAGGATGGGGGCAACACGAGGAAGGATGGGGGCAACACGAGGAAGGATGGGGGCAACACGAGGAAGGATGGGGGCAACACGAGGAAGGATGGGGGCAACACGAGGAAGGATGGGGGCAACACGAGGAAGGATGGGGGCAACACGAGGAAGGATGGGGGCAACACGAGGAAGGATGGGGGCAACACGAGGAAGGATGGGGGGAATAAGATGAACGAAAATGTGGAGAACATATAGAAGAATAGCTGAGGAGGAGGAAGAGAAGGAGGACTGAGGGAACGGTTTTTGACCAGGCGAAGGAGATGAGGCAGGTGAAGCTGAAGGCTAAGTCCAAGGCGCTTCGTTTCTGGCTCTGGCTAAGACAAAGAAGTGAATCGAATAAGGCAAGAGTAGCAGGGGAATGGGGGTGGTGGGTGAGTTGATTGGCTGTAGTGTGTGTCCACCTATGTTTGATGCGTGATGGCTGGTAGGTGTGCATGTGCTCTTTCTGCTATGCTGGAAGAATATGTTTTTCTGTAGAGGTTGTTGTAACTGCTGTCTGAATAAAATTTCAATAAATTGTCAATTCAATAGTGATGCAGTACTGGCATCATTAACCATGAAGGCTGGGCGAACAGTCTACCTTTAGCATTACAAAGAAAGTGATGAAGGTGTGACTCGACCTGTCTCCAACCCAACCCTCTCCATCATCGTTGCCTGCAGGTCATCCTTCTCGGCACCGGCACCGACTTTGCTCGAACCTTTGGTGGCGCAGTGTGGTGTGGCGTGGTGCGGTGTGGTGTAGCGTGGTGGGATGTGGTGATGCGATGAGGTGTGATGTGTTGTGCCGTATGATGCAATTTAGCCAAGGCACTCTGCTGCATTCGTATGTGGTGTGTCCATGGAAATGCTAAAAACAACAAAGTTATATGAAGCAGTGCTCGAGAAATTCTCAAGATGCCGAGAGGGCCACAGCTTGAGAATGTGTATGATACAGTGGAATGTGAGAGGCCGAGCATCTTCAGCTGTGGCCCTCTTGCGCGCCCTGCTGCCTTTTCAGCAACCATTCTCCCCTTTTAACCCCCCTGGATCCCTCCCTCTCTTTTCACTCATGGGGAAAAGCAGCGTAGAAATCTTTATTGCAATGTGTGTATCAAGGCCTGTGAAATCATCTACTAAACTGGGGCCTGGCAGTGGACGTGGGGCGTGTTCACCTGCCTGCCTCCTATCACCCCTCACCACCCCCGCTCACCACCGTTGACCTGACCCCGTCAACCCCTCACCCCCCTGCGACCCAACCGCAGGGAAGCGCATGGCAGACATGGCACGCGTTCACCTGCCTGCCTGCTGCCCTCCTATCACCCCTCACCACCCCTCCTCACCACCCCCCTTCAGCACCCCCCTGACCCTTCATCCCCCCACCTCCTGGCTCTCCTATCACCGCAGGGCAGCGCGGGGCAGTGGACGCGGGGCGAGTTCAGATGCCAGCCGCTGCCTTCCTGTCACCCCTCCCCTCACCACCCCTCTCACCACCCCTGACCCTTCATGCCCCCACCCCCCTGGCTCTCCTATCACCGCAGGGCAGCGCATGGCAGTGGCTGTGGGGCGAGTTCACCTGCTGGCCTGCCTGCCACCCCCCTTTCATCGGTTCCCCTCACCACACCACACCGCTCTCCCCTACCTCCCCACCCAACCCAACAGCAGGGCAGCGCATGGCAGTGGACGTGGGGCGAGTTCAGCTTCCTGCCTGTGCCGTGGACCGCTCATGGGAGGAGGAGCTCATGTGCACCCACCTGTTCATGCACGAGTCAGTTCATGTGCCTGTGCCGTGGACCGCTGCTCCTTCAACGTGGCTGATGTGCACCTGTGACTCTCCTTGAAGCTCGTTGTGTCCCTCTGCTTCCCATTACAACCACACCACACACCTCTGATCAGACTCTCCCTCTCACCCTTCTGCCTGCTCCTCTCGTTGCTGCATCCAGGAGCGCACGCGTGGGGCTAGCAGCAGTTTCTCTGAAGGCCCTGGGGCCTGTCTGCTACCCCATCACAACCACACTCCATCTGACCCTCCCCTCCCCCATTCCTGCCTGCATCCAGGAGCGCACGTGTGGGGCGGGCAGCGGTCTCTCTGAAGGCCCTGGGACCCCTTTTCTACCATCGCAACCAACACCTCACACGTCTGTGTCCCATATCACTCCCCTGTCACGGTGTCACCCCCCTTGCTGCCTCCAGGAGTGCGCGTGTGGGGCGGGAAGCGGTCTCTCTGAAGGCCCTGGGGGCTCATTGCTACCCCACCGCAACCACACCCACTCCTCTGACTCGTCCTTCTGTCTGCCCTTCTCCTTGCTGCCTCCAGGAGTGCACGTGTGGGGCGGGCAGCGGTCTCTCTGAAGGCCCTGGGGCCCCTCTGCTATGCCGTGGCGGCTTCCAAAGCCTTTCCTAAACACCGGAACTTAGACCTGAGCATCAGAGTGAGTGCTTTTGACCTTTGAGTTGACTCAAAGTTATCTCCTAAGCACTGGAACTTAGCATTGGGCTGGGCAACAGGACAGGGTGAGTGTTGCTGTTCTTCGGGTTGAGTCGAATGCCATCTCTTTTCACCTAAGAACCAGAACTTAGAACAGACATCATGGTGAGTGTATGTTGTTCGTTGCATCTCGACTATGGCATAGTCAAGCAGGGCGAGATGCCATAGTCAAGCAGGGCGAGATGCCATAGTCAAGCAGGGCGAGATGCCATAGTCAAGCAGGGCGAGATGCCATAGTCAAGCAGGGCGAGATGCCATAGTCAAGCAGGGCGAGATGCCATAGTCAAGCAGGGCGAGATGCCATAGTCAAGCAGGGCGAGATGCCATAGTCAAGCAGGGCGAGATGCCATAGTCAAGCAGGGCGAGATGCCATAGTCAAGCAGGGCGAGATGCCATAGTCAAGCAGGGCGAGATGCCATAGTCAAGCAGGGCGAGATGCCATAGTCAAGCAGGGCGAGATGCCATAGTCAAGCAGGGCGAGATGCCATAGTCAAGCAGGGCGAGATGCCATAGTCAAGCAGGGCGAGATGCCATAGTCAAGCAGGGCGAGATGCCATGGTCAAGCAGGGCGAGATGCCATAGTCAAGCAGGGCGAGATGCCATGGTCAAGCAGGGCGAGATGCCATAGTCAAGCAGGGCGAGATGCCATAGTCAAGCAGGGCGAGATGCCATAGTCAAGCAGGGCGAGATGCCATAGTCAAGCAGGGCGAGATGCCATAGTCAAGCAGGGCGAGATGCCATAGTCAAGCAGGGCGAGATGCCATGGTCAAGCAGGGCGAGATGCCATAGTCAAGCAGGGCGAGATGCCATAGTCAAGCAGGGCGAGATGCCATAGTCAAGCAGGGCGAGATGCCATAGTCAAGCAGGGCGAGATGCCATAGTCAAGCAGGGCGAGATGCCATAGTCAAGCAGGGCGAGATGCCATAGTCAAGCAGGGCGAGATGCCATAGTCAAGCAGGGCGAGATGCCATAGTCAAGCAGGGCGAGATGCCATAGTCAAGCAGGGCGAGATGCCATAGTCAAGCAGGGCGAGATGCCATAGTCAAGCAGGGCGAGATGCCATGGTCAAGCAGGGCGAGATGCCATAGTCAAGCAGGGCGAGATGCCATGGTCAAGCAGGGCGAGATGCCATAGTCAAGCAGGGCGAGATGCCATAGTCAAGCAGGGCGAGATGCCATAGTCAAGCAGGGCGAGATGCCATAGTCAAGCAGGGCGAGATGCCATAGTCAAGCAGGGCGAGATGCCATAGTCAAGCAGGGCGAGATGCCATAGTCAAGCAGGGCGAGATGCCATAGTCAAGCAGGGCGAGATGCCATAGTCAAGCAGGGCGAGATGCCATAGTCAAGCAGGGCGAGATGCCATAGTCAAGCAGGGCGAGATGCCATAGTCAAGCAGGGCGAGATGCCATAGTCAAGCAGGGCGAGATGCCATAGTCAAGCAGGGCGAGATGCCATAGTCAAGCAGGGCGAGATGCCATAGTCAAGCAGGGCGAGATGCCATAGTCAAGCAGGGCGAGATGCCATAGTCAAGCAGGGCGAGATGCCATAGTCAAGCAGGGCGAGATGCCATAGTCAAGCAGGGCGAGATGCCATAGTCAAGCAGGGCGAGATGCCATAGTCAAGCAGGGCGAGATGCCATAGTCAAGCAGGGCGAGATGCCATAGTCAAGCAGGGCGAGATGCCATAGTCAAGCAGGGCGAGATGCCATAGTCAAGCAGGGCGAGATGCCATAGTCAAGCAGGGCGAGATGCCATAGTCAAGCAGGGCGAGATGCCATAGTCAAGCAGGGCGAGATGCCATAGTCAAGCAGGGCGAGATGCCATAGTCAAGCAGGGCGAGATGCCATAGTCAAGCAGGGCGAGATGCCATAGTCAAGCAGGGCGAGATGCCATAGTCAAGCAGGGCGAGATGCCATAGTCAAGCAGGGCGAGATGCCATAGTCAAGCAGGGCGAGATGCCATAGTCAAGCAGGGCGAGATGCCATAGTCAAGCAGGGCGAGATGCCATAGTCAAGCAGGGCGAGATGCCATAGTCAAGCAGGGCGAGATGCCATAGTCAAGCAGGGCGAGATGCCATAGTCAAGCAGGGCGAGATGCCATAGTCAAGCAGGGCGAGATGCCATAGTCAAGCAGGGCGAGATGCCATAGTCAAGCAGGGCGAGATGCCATAGTCAAGCAGGGCGAGATTCCATAGTCAAGCAGGGCGAGATGCCATAGTCAAGCAGGGCGAGATGCCATAGTCAAGCAGGGCGAGATGCCATAGTCAAGCAGGGCGAGATGCCATAGTCAAGCAGGGCGAGATGCCATGGTCAAGCAGGGCGAGATGCCATGGTCAAGCAGGGCGAGATGCCATAGTCAAGCAGGGCGAGATGCCATGGTCAAGCAGGGCGAGATGCCATGGTCAAGCAGGGCGAGATGCCATGGTCAAGCAGGGCGAGATGCCATAGTCAAGCAGGGCGAGATGCCATGGTCAAGCAGGGCGAGATGCCATGGTCAAGCAGGGCGAGATGCCATGGTCAAGCAGGGCGAGATGCCATAGTCAAGCAGGGCGAGATGCCATGGTCAAGCAGGGCGAGATGCCATGGTCAAGCAGGGCGAGATGCCATGGTCAAGCAAGGCGAGATGCCATGGTCAAGCAGGGCGAGATGCCATAGTCAAGCAGGGCGAGATGCCATGGTCAAGCAGGGCGAGATGCCATGGTCAAGCAGGGCGAGATGCCATGGTCAAGCAGGGCGAGATGCCATAGTCAAGCAGGGCGAGATGCCATGGTCAAGCAGGGCGAGATGCCATGGTCAAGCAGGGCGAGATGCCATGGTCAAGCAGGGCGAGATGCCATAGTCAAGCAGGGCGAGATGCCATGGTCAAGCAGGGCGAGATGCCATGGTCAAGCAGGGCGAGATGCCATAGTCAAGCAGGGCGAGATGCCATGGTCAAGCAGGGCGAGATGCCATAGTCAAGCAGGGCGAGATGCCATAGTCAAGCAGGGCGAGATGCCATGGTCAAGCAGGGCGAGATGCCATGGTCAAGCAGGGCGAGTTGCCATAGTCAAGCAGGGCGAGATGCCATGGTCAAGCAGGGCGAGATGCCATGGTCAAGCAGGGCGAGATGCCATGGTCAAGCAGGGCGAGATGCCATGGTCAAGTAGGGCGAGATGCCATAGTCAAGCAGGGCGAGATGCCATGGTCAAGCAGGGCGAGATGCCATAGTCAAGCAGGGCGAGATGCCATAGTCAAGCAGGGCGAGATGCCATAGTCAAGCAGGGCGAGATGCCATAGTCAAGCAGGGCGAGATGCCATAGTCAAGCAGGGCGAGATGCCATAGTCAAGCAGGGCGAGATGCCATAGTCAAGCAGGGCGAGATGCCATAGTCAAGCAGGGCGAGATGCCATAGTCAAGCAGGGCGAGATGCCATAGTCAAGCAGGGCGAGATGCCATGGTCAAGCAGGGCGAGATGCCATGGTCAAGCAGGGCGAGATGCCATGGTCAAGCAGGGCGAGATGCCATGGTCAAGCAGGGCGAGATGCCATGGTCAAGCAGGGCGAGATGCCATGGTCAAGCAGGGCGAGATGCCATGGTCAAGCAGGGCGAGATGCCATAGTCAAGCAGGGCGAGATGCCATGGTCAAGCAGGGCGAGATGCCATGGTCAAGCAGGGCGAGATGCCATGGTCAAGCAGGGCGAGATGCCATAGTCAAGCAGGGCGAGATGCCATGGTCAAGCAGGGCGAGATGCCATGGTCAAGCAGGGCGAGATGCCATAGTCAAGCAGGGCGAGATGCCATGGTCAAGCAGGGCGAGATGCCATGGTCAAGCAGGGCGAGATGCCATGGTCAAGCAGGGCGATGCCATAGTCAAGCAGGGCGAGATGCCATAGTCAAGCAGGGCGAGATGCCATAGTCAAGCAGGGCGAGATGCCATAGTCAAGCAGGGCGAGATGCCATAGTCAAGCAGGGCGAGATGCCATAGTCAAGCAGGGCGAGATGCCATAGTCAAGCAGGGCGAGATGCCATAGTCAAGCAGGGCGAGATGCCATAGTCAAGCAGGGCGAGATGCCATAGTCAAGCAGGGCGAGATGCCATAGTCAAGCAGGGCGAGATGCCATAGTCAAGCAGGGCGAGATGCCATAGTCAAGCAGGGCGAGATGCCATAGTCAAGCAGGGCGAGATGCCATAGTCAAGCAGGGCGAGATGCCATAGTCAAGCAGGGCGAGATGCCATAGTCAAGCAGGGCGAGATGCCATAGTCAAGCAGGGCGAGATGCCATAGTCAAGCAGGGCGAGATGCCATAGTCAAGCAGGGCGAGATGCCATAGTCAAGCAGGGCGAGATGCCATAGTCAAGCAGGGCGAGATGCCATAGTCAAGCAGGGCGAGATGCCATAGTCAAGCAGGGCGAGATGCCATAGTCAAGCAGGGCGAGATGCCATAGTCAAGCAGGGCGAGATGCCATAGTCAAGCAGGGCGAGATGCCATAGTCAAGCAGGGCGAGATGCCATAGTCAAGCAGGGCGAGATGCCATAGTCAAGCAGGGCGAGATGCCATAGTCAAGCAGGGCGAGATGCCATAGTCAAGCAGGGCGAGATGCCATAGTCAAGCAGGGCGAGATGCCATAGTCAAGCAGGGCGAGATGCCATAGTCAAGCAGGGCGAGATGCCATAGTCAAGCAGGGCGAGATGCCATAGTCAAGCAGGGCGAGATGCCATAGTCAAGCAGGGCGAGATGCCATAGTCAAGCAGGGCGAGATGCCATAGTCAAGCAGGGCGAGATGCCATAGTCAAGCAGGGCGAGATGCCATAGTCAAGCAGGGCGAGATGCCATAGTCAAGCAGGGCGAGATGCCATAGTCAAGCAGGGCGAGATGCCATAGTCAAGCAGGGCGAGATGCCATAGTCAAGCAGGGCGAGATGCCATAGTCAAGCAGGGCG